AGAGAGAGAGAGAGAGAGAGAGAGAGAGAAATTGAGCTTTTCTACCAAATAACCTACATTTTCTGAGCACCACATTAAAAACTCCAGTGAGCAGCCTGCAAAAAGAAAAATGATAGCATAAAGCTCTTCCCACAGCCTGGACTTCATTTCAGAAATTCAGAACGAGCTTTAAGCCACATTACACAGTAATGGCAGTCAGCATGCTGCACTCATGTTAGAAACACATCGCCATGTAGTTTATTCCAGCTCTGTGTATGCATTTGTTCCTGAGTGAGTGCTGGCCCAGCTCCCCAACCCCCCCCTTTTTTTTTTGCACAGCCTCTCACACCAAACAAACAGAAAAGGTCTAGATTTTCATCTGTTGCCTGGTAACATAAGCACCCAATAGAAACAACAGGAAATATTTCACCAAATTATGGTAAGAGAAAGATCTAGGGAGCCCACACTTGCCGTGGGATGTGATGAGTTTATTCAGCAGTTTCCTAAGTCATTTTCAATTCAGTACACACACAAAGAAGGAATGACGAGACGTTCTTGCTGTGGATATGATAAGGGAATTTTGTATAATACATAGAATGAACTCAAATTCACTCCAGAATATTTCTGGGCACATGGTAGATAGAATAGAATAGAAGCTGCACAAATACCTGAAGTTGTGTCTTAGGTTTTTGTCTGAACTCACTGGACTGCTATACTCCATAAATGAAAATATGATTACATTAACTTCCTTAAAGATTCTACAGTTTTTTGCTCTTTTTCTACTTTGCAATATTCCTTTTTAAATTTTTTGTTGTGTATATTCATTGTGTGTGGTGGTATTACCTAGGGATAATTTTCATTCAAGTATACTAACTGTAACTTCACATAGCCCACTAACCTCTATATTCTCCTTCTTTCCATCCCTTTAGTCTCCTTTTGTCCCCCTAGACAGTATCTCTTCTACTCTTATGTTGCAGTTTTGTTTCAGGGTATCTACCTAAAATCCAGAAATCACTAAGCAAATATCTAGCATTTGTCTTTCTGAGACTGGTTTAATGTTGTCTGTGATCTTCATGTATTCCTCCTTTTGGCACACATACTTATCCCTATCCCTACCATATCTCAAGTCCTACCATGCCCTTTGCAAACATACATACATACATACATACATGGTTTATTTAAAAACTTATTTACATTTATAATGATGTGGGGAAGATAACAAAATAATGTCCAATACCAGCATCATTGGACAATAGTGGGAAGTAGAGAGGGATCCACAGAAATTGTTTAAGGCAGGAGAGTCACTCATGTATTTTGATGGTAAGGCACTATTGTCTAATTATAGCCCCTGAAGTTTGGAGTGCGGGTGTAGACACAGTCCCATTATGCTAGTGTTAATTGAAACCATGAGAATGCATCTCTTTGGCAGAAGAGCTATTAATTTTCATGGTACATGTAACCACTTGTGCATTTCTTAAGCGCCACAATAGACTCCACCCTTCTCGGCAAAACTGCTACTCCAAGCAGGTAAGAAAGAAATGCATCAAGAACCAAGACAAATAACAATGAAATAAGTAACACAAAGATGTGTAGCAGCAGGATATTCTTGAACCATCTGTTACTAATTAAGAGGGTATCTATTCAGTTGCAATTGTAAGGCTCCAAGGATTGGGATTGACTCTGCTGGGTCCAGCAAATCTGAGGCAAGCAAGAGTACTTTAACCGAGTGGTGCCCTTCTCTGTAGGGAAGGAAAGCTTGCTGGTGCTAATGGCCTTTCAAAGGCTTTCTGTTGATCAAATCATTGTTCATCTTGGAAGTGCAAAAGAGAGCTGAAAAAACAAGGTGTCCACCCAAAAGAAAGTGAGACCATCTCTGAGTTAAGCATTCAGAGCAGCCAAGGCCAGGATGCTTCTGCAGCTTGCCTTTTAAAAAGTCAAGTGATTCTGGTCTCCTCAGTTGACAAATACATTCCTTAACTCTGAAAGGCCCTTTTATGAGGTAACAAAAAACTACATTTGTTAAGTTGTTCTCTTCCCATGGAGAATAACTGAGTAAGGATTATCAGGTGAAGGAACCCATAGATATGGGAGGAAAGAAACCTACTCAATATATAAACTGATAGAGAACTCGAATTATAAGTTAATCACATGGCTTTTGTGCTTACTCGATTTGAAATACATTTTTGGCAGTTAGGTCTTTTAATAGATTCCCCATAAAAGCAAAAATTTAAATTCTGCTTAACTGAGAGCTCCACTCCAAAAATTAATACAGTAAGTATTTTCCCAAGTCTGCAACCATGCCTGACATGCTGGTACATCAAGACATCCCTTAGAAGATAGATTTGATACAATTCTTATTTTGGTTATCTTTGATTTAATACCTATGTGTTTTACTATTGTGCTAGTCAAATAATATAAACCAACTTAGTTGAAGGTATTGGTTTTAAATCAGTCCTTAAGTCCAGAAGTTATCCAGTAGTGAAGCCAAAACAGTCCATCTGTTTGTTTGTTTGTTTGTTATTAATCTTCCAGTTACAAACATAGCATTTAACATAGCCCAATGTTATTTTTTTAACCTTTGACCTATATGAATTAGATGACTGTATTTACTGTTTTCCAATAAAACTATGAACTGTCTTTTAAGAAGTCATTAGGTATAAAATGAATATGGATGAGAGCTGAATTCTGAAACACAAATAAAAAGTAATCTTAAGAAAGTATTTAAAGTAGCTTTTCTTCTCCAATTAACAGTAGACCTGTATTTCTTTAATGTAAAGACGGTATTTTTCTATTTTTCTCTTTATAATGCACTAATAGCATACAGATACATGTGTATATATGAGTATTTACACCACATACCGACTCCTTCCTGTCCATTCATCTTAGGATGAACATGAGGAATTGCTAAAAGTAGGCAAATGTGTCAGGTGAACGTCTAAGCCAATGACATGGGTCTCAAAGAAGTATGGACTGTGGACTACTTAAGTATTTCCAAGATTAAAAATGATTGCTTATATTGACAGAAGTACAGCACTGCAATTATTTTCCTGATGACCTTAGATTCGTATGCCCCACCAAATATTTGCCACAGACAATTAAAGCATCAGAAGAAAAAGGAGAGGGTGGATACTACAAAGAAATTCCTAACAATTCACAGCCTGGAGATGAGAGATCAGTAGTGAATACATATTATTTCCTAATTCCAAATTATTAGCATCTATTTTAGAGAATATGCTAGGCTTTAGACTCATTTGCTTCACTCTGATAAACACTGGCTTCCTCTTTAACTAAGGTGACAGTACATTCTGAGCGTTTAGTTGCCCATTAACAATCAGTAGTCCCTGTTGCCTGGTTATGTTTGTTAATAAGCACCTGTTGGTTTAGACAGTAAGTGCCTTAGCTTGGATAATAAATTACATGGTCATTCTAACTGCAGATGAACTCTGTGAAAGTTAATCTGGTGGACATTTTGTAGTACTGTTCAGTTTTCACTCTGACCTTTTGTATAATCACAAAAACAACTAAATGACAAAAAAAGGTACTATCTGTGCACACAGAATTTTCAACAATGGCTTACAAATTTGGAGCCTAAAATAAGAGCCTCAAGAGCAGTCTGACAAAGATAACTTTGCTCCAATATAGATGCTTCTTCCCTGGTATTAAGTCATAAAAGATGTCTTAACTTAAGTTTCTATTGCTGTGATAGACATGTCTACAAGTTTGTCTTACATACCCTGGGCCACAATCCACCCTGGGGAAGCCACAGAGGTTGTTCTTCATAGTTTGCTCAGTCTGCTTTCTTGTATCAGTGAGGACCACCTTCCCAAGGGTAGCAGCATCATCCACAGTGACATGGGCCCTCCAACATTAGTCATAAACCTCTGAACACTCAAAACCTCCCGTAGTCCCAAATTCCAAAATGTTCCACATAAACATATTGATGCAAGGTCATTCAAAATTGTTCATTGGCTTAAGAGTTACAGCTCAGTGGTAGAGCATTGGCTGTACATCTGCAATGCCCCGAGGTTGTAGTCCCACTGCTACAGGAACTAAAAGCTTGCAAGTCTCACTGAAGGGTGAACCATTTTCACTTTGAAATCTTGCTCAAAAAGCACAGATCCTCAGTATTACATACACCAACACACAAGAGCCTGTCTCCTTTACATCACCTCATGGAGGCTCATGAAGGCCTTTCTAAGGTGGCTCCATGAACAGTCTGAAAAATCCTATTCTAATCCAATCCATTTAGTTTACAAGAGATCCATTTTACCACCTATTACAATTTTCTATACTGGTAATCCTATAGCCAAATTCATGATCAAAACTTGAACAGTAAGTGCACAGTAATTGTCATGAAAGCTCTGAGCACACTTTATAATGTGTGCCCATGAAACAAATGCTCATGAATACTGATGACTTCCTAGTCTGCAACTAGTGGGCTCAAACATGGTCATTTAAAATAACTAAGTGTGAAAACAAAAATAGAACTAAGTGTGGAGCCTGAGAGGGGGGGAGGGGGAGGTTTTTGCAAGAAGAGAAAGAACTAAAAGCAGATGGAAGCTGATTTGTTAAAAATCATATTTAAAATTAAGATTTAGAGTTCATGTACATCCCATATAAGAATGCTACCAAGAATGCTACAGAAAATAACAATGATATATAAAGATATTTATCCTAGCTGGGCAGTGGTGGTATATGACTAATCCCAGCACCCAGGAGGCAGAGGCAGGTAGATCTCTAGGACTTCAAGGCCAGCCTGGTCTACAGAGTGAGTTGCAGGACAGGCTAACCCTAACCCTGTCTCAAACAAACAAACAAACAAACAAACAAAGCTTATCCTAGTACTGATGAGTCACACTAAACAGTATATGCATGTGGACAAATGTGAGAAGTGAGAGACCAAGAAAAGACTGTTATTGAGCCAACGGAACCCCAGTAACTTGTTTTGTAACATTTCTCCAACCCCTTTTGAAACCAAACCAACCAAAACTCAAAACACAAAAGACACCCAGACAACTTACCACAGAGACTTTGCTCACTACATCCCGTGCAACTGCTAGACCTTGAGCAAAAGTCCGGGCTGCAACAAAGGCACGCGTAACCTGGAGCTTCAGTTTCCGAGGGACATCTCCAAAGGGCTTCAGCTGCTCTGTATATTTGCTCACACATTCCAGGTACTCATCTGTAAAATGGTACTGAGAGTTCACAAGGCGGAACATGCGCTCCAGAAGGCGAGCCCAGAAGTCATTTAGCATTTCCTCCAGGTTCACATTTCCCACCACATAGTAGCGCTTCAATTCCACGAAGAGATCTTTAAATAGCTCTGAATTTTGCATGTACAAGTGGCCATATGTCTTCACAAACATATCATTCAGGGATTTCTCTGCATTCTCAAGTAGTTCTTTGAAGAATTCTACAAAGAAAACCCAAAAAAGGGAGGGAGACGAAAATGAGAAAGGCTGTTTTCCAGTAATTAAATAAGTGAATGAGATGAACTTGAAGAGAAAAACAACTGTGACATCCAACTGGAAAGTATGTTTGTACATACAGTGTACGGCTGTGGCTTCTGCATCTCAAATCCTTTGTTGGTGAAAAGAAGTCTATGTCACAAAGTTACTCTTTCATACATGCCCACATCCAAGAGAAGGAGAAGGAAAATTTAAATTAGCAGCTTCTCAAGTATCAGTACAACATTCTAAAAACCCTCAACAAACAATGGCAGGTTGGACATGGTGATGCCGACCTCCTGCAATGCTAGCACGTAGGCAGATCAGGAGTTCAAGGTCAGTCTCAGCTACCCAGTCAAGTAGAGGCTGAACACGAGACTGTCTTAAAACAAGCAAATGAACAAACAAGCAAGCCAGAAAACAGCAGCAGCAACTAAAAACAAACACATAATCGCTAAAAGATGAGGTTTCCCCAAAAAACATCTTTGAGTAACACCCTAGAACAGTGGTTCTCACCCTTCCTAATGCTGGGACCTTTAATACAGTTCCTCATGTTGATGGTCTAGACAGTGGTTCCCACCCTTCCTAATGCTGTGACCTTTAATACAGTTCCTCATGTTGATGGTCTAGACAGTGGTTCTCACCCTTCCTAATGCTGGGACCCTTTAATACAGTTCCTCATGTTGATGGTCTAGACAGTGGTTCTCACCCTTCCTAATGCTGGGACCTTTAATACAGTTCCTCATGTTGATGGTCTAGACAGTGGTTCTCACCCTTCCTAATGCTGGGACCTTTAATACAGTTCCTCATGTAGATGGTCTACACAGTGGTTCTCACCCTTCCTAATGCTGGGACCTTTAATACAGTTCCTCATGTTGATGGTCTAGACAGTGGTTCTCACCCTTCCTAATGCTGTGACCCTCTAATACAGTTTCTCATGTTGTGCTGACTCCCCCAAACCATAAAATTACTTTCCTTGCTACTTCATAACTGCAATTTTACTACTGTTATGAGTTATAATGTAAATATCTGATATACAGGGTATTTGGTATGTGAACCCTGGAAAAAGTTGTTCAACACCTCCTTCAAGCAAATCCACGACCCACAGGTAGAGAATACTGCTCTAAACCAAAGTAAATCATATAATTATGACCTAAGATTAAGACAGGCATTTCAAAAATTATTATTTCCATCTTTTTTTACTTCTCTACAGGACATGCTTGGAAAATGAAAATGCTTGGGACCACCGAACATAATGAAACAGCCCTTGAATCAAGTATCTCCTTCTGGAAATAATTTTTTGAGTGTTTTCTCGGTGATGCTACTGTAACAATGGTATTCAACTTGACTTTGGGCTCCTACAGTGGCATTGTGATTTTCTTTTCAAGGTTGCAGAGATGAATCCATTGTAGATATCATTACAGCTCTGGTGTATATGTAAAATGACATGGAAAAATAACTGAAAACCACAAATGACCATATCTGAATGTTTCAGGTTTATGCCTTGGCCACCATACGAAGCCAGAGTGCAACTGCTGACGATTGTAATTTTTTTTTCCAGCAAAAATGGTAAACTTTCTCTTGAAGTGTAAAGAGAAACACAGGAGAATTCCCAGGCCAGCTACCCACTACTCAACTTCCTGATCCCATAACACACAAGATGAAAGGTGAGGGCTGACACCCAGGTTGTCCTCTGACCTTTACTCCACACTGTGCCATGGACACTTGTACTCATACAAGACTGTGTGCACTTGTCACTCAAAGATTTAAAAAAAAAAAGAATGAGAAGCTAACATTAATCATTCGTAGAGAATTTCTTGCCTGGTAAAAAAATAAACACCCCATGATATTAAGTTTATAAGCAGGAAATATAATGAATACCAGAGCAAAGTATAAGGACTTGATCAAATGAGAAACTGTCTAAGTGAACATGGATCAGAACAACATGTGATGCCACTTCAAAGGCAGGGCACTGGTGAACTTATCAAAATGCAATAGCACTACAAGCATGTTCTCTTCCCACACTGGGAGGACAAGCCAGAGGCTGATGGCTCATTCCAATATGTTTTCAAAGCTCTTGGACTGAGTACAGCCTTTTGGAAGTGTGGGTTTCCATACAAGCCAAGAGAGTCCATACCAATGTTTCTTGAGCCCCTAACACATCAATACATACTTCTTTGAGGGTTAGGGCTAAAGTCCAGAGTTCTTTCTGGTTCCAGATTTGTAGACTTTGTCTTTTGGTTTGTTTCTTCACTCTAGTTTCTAGTTGTGGATTTTCCCCCTTTATTTCTACTACTTCTGCTGTCTTATTTACAGTGTTCTCTCCAGAGTTCATCTCTCACACTTTTACCAGTATTCTCTCCCTTAGCAAAAGAGCAGAGTATACAAAGAACTAAGAGAACTGTGCGAGAGTTCTCCAGAGGAACAGAACCAAGAAGATAACTAATTATAGAGGAGATTTATTAGACTGGCTCCCACAACCACAGAGACTACAAAGTCCTGTGATGGTTATCAACCCACAGGCGAGCCAGGGAGACCAGTACGTCCTAAGTCTAAGAAGCTGAAGCCTCAGGATGAGAGAGCCCAGTTGAAGGTCAAAAAAACCTCCGAAAGAGCTACTGGTCACAAGAGAAATCTGATGTGCTTAAGCACCAGCAGGAGAAAGCACACTAACTTGAAAAGCTCACCAGCAGAAACTAGGTTTCCCACTTGTACTGTGTCGTTATTCGATCAGGACCAGCAGCCTATTGGATGTTGCTGCCTGCAGCAAGGGCAGGGGATTCCTCTTCTTAGTCCACTGGCCCATATAGCAGTCTTCTCTGTGCAACACCTCCAGAGACACATTCAGAACGATGCTTTACCACATCTCTGTGGCCCTTCCAACAAGCCAAACAAGGCAGCAGAGAAACATGTGAGAAGAACTCTGGGAGGCATCCAAGTGGGGAGGCCTTTTATTGTCTATGACATTCCCCTGAAAAGCTCTCGAAATGTACACCAAGGATCAACAGCACAACAATATCACCTAGGCACTTGCCAGCAATCAAGCTCTTGGCCCCACCCCAGACTCACTGAACCAGAAACTCTAGGTGTGGATCTAGCCATGCTTGACTGTTGTGCCCTCAAGTTAGAGAACAAGACTAACTGATGAAAAACATTTCCATTTCACTGATCACTAGTAATCACCAGCGGCCCTGGGGCTCGGCTGAGTGTAAGGCATTCTGGGGGAGCAGTACTGTTTTAAAGGATGGGAATGGGGGGTTCTTTCCAATGAATTCCCTCTAAAATACTATTACCTTCCTAGAAATAATGTTTTTTGATTTCTTGGGAATACATTTTCTTATATAGGGCTCTTTCATCTATGTGTTAACATAGATGACTAAGGCATGTAGCATTTTCCCTTAATTCCAAGTTGGGGAGTTCTAAGGAATCTCAAATATCATCTGGTGTATGTCCTTTACCGTACCTTATCACCAACATGCTTTTTGATCAGGGGCCTAAAGTGTGTAAGAAGATTGTTAGTACATGTCTGCAGAGTGAATTCTAATTGGTCTTAATAATAAAACCCCAGAGTCAGATACCTGGGTAAATGCTGAAAGATCAGAGAAGTAAAGGTGCCAGCCACTAGAAAGAGACCTTTTACTCTACCAAATCCTCAGACCAAAGTGGGCAAGATACTGTCTCTAGTAATCCTCAGACTAAGTTTAATGAGCTCCTGTCTCTTCCTCCTTATATTCCCCTCTCCACCCAGCCATATGCACTCTTGTTTCCACCTCCCTAGTGCTGGGATTAAAGACGTGTCACTCCAAGTGCTGGGATCACCTTTGTGTTAGCTCTGCTTCTCTTTTATACTGTATCAATCTCGTGTAGTCCAGGTTGGCTTTGAACTCATAAACATATGCCTGCTTCTGTCTCCCTGTTGCTGGGATTAAAGGTGTGTGCCACAACTGCTCATTTTCTATAGGTAACTAGTGTAGTTACCCATCTGCACTGTGATCTTCAGGCGAGTTTTATTTGTTACAACACAAACAATATATCACCACACATGTCTAGTATACTATACGGGCATATTGGGGGGGAAAAAAGCCTTGTCATAGAGAACAGAATCCAAACTTTATGCCAATCAAGTACTCTCTCTATTAAAAAAAACAAAAACAAAAACCCGACAACAACAACCACAGATCCTTCCCTATAATACGTTTCTATCATTGTTCGTAACATTAGTATATGCCAGAAGAAACTTGAGTGCTAAGAATTATTTGGCTAGTGCCTTTGTATTTATTTAATTAGCTAGTCTATTTTTTAATCCACAGGACCGAAAGGCATGGTTTTAAAGGGTAGGAGACACAGTGGTCCATTGAGTTTAGTTTAATTTCAAACTTTGAAAATTGTCAAGACTGATCCTTTATTGGGCTTCATAGTACTGTACGTCAAAGACATTCTATGGAGAAAGTTCACCATTCTGGCTTTTTTTGTTTTGTTTTGTTTTGTTTTGTTTTTGACACAGTCTCACTATGTTAACCAGGCTGGGCTCAAACTCACAGGGACCTGCCTGCCTCTCCCTCCCCGGGGCTGAGATTAAAGGCGTGTGCCACCATGTTCAATAAGTTCAATCGTTCTGGTCTGAAACCGGCCAGGAGATGCAGCTGTTTGGTATCCAGTTACTTAAAGCATAAGAAAAATGACCTAATGAGAAGGAAACAGATTTGATGATGACATATCCCTCTGTCCAGCATTACCACAGGACTTTACATTGGCTCCCATCACTCACATTTTCTTGCAAAATGTAAGCCTCTATGCACATGCAAGTGTGTGTATTTATGGCAGCATGTGTTTTAGCAGATTAGTGTGGAGCCACATATACACTAAATCTTAATGTATCTCATTACCCAGAAAATTTATCTTCTTGCCTTCACACATTAAAAGACTCTTTTATGTGGCCATTTAAGTTGAAGATATAAAGAATATT